TGTCGCCTTCAATTTCAAATTCCACCATTGCCTGTTTCTTCAATCTCTTAGATTTGTTACCGAGGGCTGTAATCAGGATAGCGGCTTTAACGGGCAGCGTCAAAATTGGATGTTGCTTCAATATTAATTTCTCGTAGATTTCTTCAGTGACCAAACTTATCTGCGATCCAGAATCTAATAAAGCGTCCACCTCTTCACTTCCCATGACAATTTTCACGTAGAGGCAATTGTTTAATCTGTCTCCATCTATCGCTTGTAATAAAATTTCTTCGTCTCCTAAACCCAGTTCGTCATTGCAAACTCCTACCCTTTTGGCTTTTAACTCATTCCTTGGGGCGTTTTCTACTCTATTGCACCCATCTAGGACGAACCCACGCCCTCCGGACACGTCCTGATCTAATTCCCCTGATGCTGATTGGAGCTTGGTCGTGGAATCCGCAGATCGCTGTCTTCCTCTTTCCTCTCCTGATTGAAAGTGGGGGCGTAAGGGTTTAACTGGTTCCCCTGCCTGTGATTCCGACTCTCCTCCTCCCTGTGCTGCCCACCTGTGGCAATGTTGTCTCGCCTATTTCCAAAATACGGCTGTCGACGCGTCGGGCGGTTTTGATAGTTGTTTCCCCTACCAAATTCCATTCCTCTGACTTGATATTGCCTCTCCTGGTTTCTGTCATTGCCTCGATATTGTGCCCTGTTGTTCCGATAATTCTGCGGGTTCGAGTTGCCAGGGGGTTCTCTTTCAGTCCTGTAACCCTGCTCTTTCGCTTCTATCTCGTCCATTTGCCTCAGGAAGCTGACGACCTCTTCAACGTTCTTATGCTGCTTAGCTAACCAAATTCTCTGCACGGATATTGGGTAATGAGCTTTTAATGCAAAAATGATCTCCTGGTCTTCCATTGGGGGTTGTAGGTGCCTGGCTAAGACAGCATATTTTAGAAAATGATCGGACATACTCTTGTCGCTCTGACGACTGAATTTCTCTTGGTATATTCTGCAGCGAGTTTCCGACTGGCTTTCGTTACTCCAAAATTGTCTGATGAATGAACTCTTAAATTTCTCATAATTTTGGAACGTTCCCGCGGTCGCGAGAATCCATGACTTGGCTGATTCATTTGTGAGTGACTTCACAGCAATAGTCAGACGAAATTGTGGAGGAATTGCTTTCAATTCGAAATATTCGTCAAGTTGTTTCACATGGAACAAAGCATTTTGCGCCGTAGCATCTACAAAAGTGGGTAACGGGATTTCTACAGAGATTAATTTCTGGATATCTGCCCTGAGATTTAAGTTTGAGTTAGGTGACTCACTTACATGAATACTTTCATTCTGCATGCACCGCCCATCAGCACTCGCATGCAACAGATGTTCAGTTTCAACCAAAGCATGCCTTACAGCTAGCGGGTCACTGGCAGGCTGTTGCAGATGTGGGGTGGGGCTGCCACCACGGGCCTGCTCATGGTTGGAATGCGACTGACACGCAATTTGTCCTGGTGACGCGGAGTTCGTAGCTTCCCTTCTCAATTCTACAATTTCGCTCGACATTTCCTGCCTAACACGGGCGATTTCCTCTCTCACCGCTTCAATTTCTTTGTTTACCTTCGTATCTATGT